GCCTGGCTCCCCCTGGAGGCCCAGCACGGGCAGCACGTCAACTTCTATCCCCTGGACAGCACCTACCCGGTGCTGCAGCCGTGGCACAAGCCCGTATTTAAGACCCAGTGACTCGATCGGAAGCACATTCCTCCTCCGCCTCGCCTCGCCTCGCAGGGCCCCCGTCTGAGGTTGCAGGGAGGTTTATCAGGGAGCCGGAAGAGTTGGCAAAGGGACCAGTGTGCGCTCTGGTCCCCAGGCCACAGGCGCTTTGCCTTGTTATGCATGGAGGGGTGGGAGGGAAGCATGAAGCACAGACATTTGAAGTTAGCTTTTAGAAATGAGAGGCAGGGCAAGTTAGGGTTAGGAAGGCAGCTTCAGGTATAGTACAGGCAGGCACTTTGGGGGAGCTAAAGAGGCTTCTGCGAGAAGGGGATAGAAATCCAGGAGGGCTAGTGACAACAGTAAATATATATTTTAAAAAGATTTATTAATGCATATAGAACTGGGGTACCGGCCAGAGGTGCAGGGGAGGTGAGAGGATTCACTAGAAAGAGGGGAGAGTAGAACAGGCTGATTGACGAAGTACACTGCTGAGGGGAGCAGCAGGCGGGTCAGGAGGGGACTGCCACACCCTGTGGATCCCCGCCAGGGCAGGGGCTTGAACTCACACTGAAGTGGCTGCAGCTCGCTTGCAGAGCTGCACTTTAAGCCTGTACGCCACCAGGGGAGGCCAGGCTTTATTTATTTTTAAGTAGAAGTACTGAGGTGTGGGCAAGAGCATCCACCAGAGACAGAACGGGCAGATCTACTGGAACACACTGCTGAGAGGAGCAGCAGCTGACACCGGAGAGGTCTGCTGCGCCACGTGGGTCAGCTCCTTGGCCTGGTATCGAACTGGTGCTGAAGCAGCTTAGCTTCCTAGTGCTGTGCTTTAACCCGCTGTGCCACCAGGGAGGGCCTGAGGCCAGTAAATATGAAGGCTAATAAGGACAGTACATTTTAAGAGACCTTGGACAGGGAAGGCAAAGGAGAAACTCCAAGCTAAGTGCAGGGAAATGGGCACACCTGCTGGGCAGAGTATGGCCACTGGCAGAGAGCCCACCACGAAGTAGAATGACGAGATTTTAGAATAGAGAAAGACACTTCCATACCCACTAGACTCGCCGGCTACTGTCCTCTCTGCCCCTCCCAGTTACATTGAACTGTGCACCTGGGAGTCCTTGCTTGCTTTCTTTAAATTGTTCTCTACTTTCTTGAATAAAGTTTTCTTCTTTCTGCTTACTAGTCTAAAAAGTCTGCAAAAAAAATTTTTTTTATGGCTTGGTGGGACAAGAGCCTGCAGTGGTTCAAAGGTAAAGTCTGGCTTTTCACAGCTAGACCAGAGTGAAAAGCAGCAGTGGTAACAGGACACCGGCTTCAGAAACAACATTAACAGCAAGATGACATAGTTCTGATGTGTCTGTTGCATCTAAGGTAAATGAACTTTAAAAATGAATTTTCTGCAGCTATAATTTACCTGAAAGCCACACGTTAGCAGCACCCAGTTCTGAGGTTTTGACAGATATTTACATGCAGCAGCACCACAATCCAGATAGAGAGAATTTCCATTGCCCCCAACTTCCTCCTGCCTTGCAGCCAGTCCCCTCCCGCACCCACTCCAGGGAGCTACTTTCTATCCCCATAGGTTAGTGGTGCCTGTTCCAGAGTTTCATATGAATAGATGCAGCCATGTCTTTGTGTGTGTCTACACTGTGCCTTCTTTTTATAGTGGAGAGTCTTTCCCCTGGATGGCTATAGCAGTATTTGTTTATACAAATCACTCAGCTGTTGATGGCTCGGGTTGTTTCCAGGTTGGGGCTATTGTGAGGGAGCATGACTAATGTCTGTGAGTGCAGACCTACACTTCTCATGGGTAAACCCTCGGTGTGACTCCCAAAGCACTTGCATTTCCCCCATGCGAGTCACCTGCCACCCTTATGTCTTCTTTGGGGAGGTGTCTGTTGAGGTCTTTGACCGCCTTTTAATTGGGTTGTTTGCTTTCTTATTTGTGTGTCTACCTTTGCTGGTGTGTCTTTGGCAAATATTTTATCCCAGCCTGTGACTTGCCTCCTCATTTTTGGGACATTGTCTTTTGCAGAGAGCAGGCATTTTAAATGTTAAGGAAGTAGAGCTTATGTCTTTCATGAATGATGCTTTTGGTGTTGTATCTAATAAATCATCATTGGGGGGCTCCCTGGTGGCCCAGGGGTTAAGTCTCAGGGCTATCATCTCTATGACCCGAGTTGGGTCTCCCGCCAATGGGAGCTGACCCACATGACTCAGCCGACCTCTCCTATCTCACCAACTGCTCCCCTCAGCGGTGTATTTCAGTAGATCTGCCTGCTCTGCTCCCAGCTCTGTCTCTGGAGAGTCCCCTCATATCACCCCTCCACCCACCTCTATGCAAAAAATAAAAAATAAAAAATAGTCATTGTCATACCCAAGGTCATTTTGATTTTTCCAACATTATCTCCCAGGAGTTTTATATTTGCGTTTTCTATTTAGGTCTAGGATCCTTTGTGAGTTAACTTTTCTGAAGGTGGTGGGGTCTGTGTCTAAATACATTCTTTTTTCTCATGTGGCTGTCCATTAGTTCCCATATCCTTTGCTGAAAAGAATATTTTTTTTCTCCATTACATCCCTTTACTTCTTTGTCCAAGATCATTTGATTGTATTTTTGTGGGTCTATTTCTGGGAAGTAGTCTGGGCCATTGATCTCTTTGTCTGTTCTTTTGCCAGTCCCATACTGTGTCTTGATTACTGTAGCTTTATGTTAAGTTCCGAAGACGGCTAGCATTCCTCTTCCAACTTTGTTCTTTTTCATTATTGGATTGTCTGTTCCGGGTGATTTGCTTCTTCATATAAAATATAGAATCAACTTGTCAATAGTCACACAGTAACTTGCTGGGATTTTTTTGGGGATTGCTTTGAATCTACAGAGCAAGTTGGGAGTTCTACCATTTTGACTTTTTGTCACTAATGAAGAAATGTTGGTGTGGTAATTAAAAGATAAGCATAAGGCCCTTGCTACCCTTTTACTGGGAGATGAGATCTGTGTCTCTTCGACTTGAATCTGGGTCAGCACTAGGCTCGTTTGACCAATAGACTATGATGGTGAGAAGATGCTAGTTTCTGGGCTCAGGCTGGCAGTTTGACCTTTCTCTGGCAGAGCCTGGGCTTCTTTGTAAAATAGTCTGACTCCTCTGAGCTCCCCTGCAATGGAGGGGCATGTGCAGGCACTGAGGGGCGTAGTTTGGATGCGCCCAGCCTCCCAGACACCCCTGTCCAGGCTTCAGACATATTGTGAATACAACTATTGTGGATTTCCACTCTGAAAATCCTGTCTGCCTGCTAAATACCTCTCCTATGCCTTCCTTTAATGCCATGTGGACTCACAGAGTTGCCCAAGCAAACCTTGCTTACATTTGTGACCCACAAAATGAATGTCAATAAAGTTAATAAAAATAATAGGGCAAACAAGAGAATCATCAGTGCATTGATAGTAACTGAATAGTAGTTGTTTAAAGCCACTAAGTTTTGGAGTCTTTGTGCCAGGAGGGATACCCAGCTGCTGGATCATGAGTCACGAGGCCCTGGGTGGAAACTGTTGAGTACCGTGGTTTAAAAATGCTGCTCTCCTGTCTCACCCGCTGTTCCCCTCAGCAGTGTACTTCATCAGTCTGCCTGTTCTGCTCACACCCTGTCTCTGGTGAATCCTCTCAACCCCCCCCACCTCTGGGCTGCACCCCAGTTCTGTATGCATAAATAAATAAATCTTTTTTAAAAATGCTGCTGCAAACTGCAGTGAGCCTTGATGATCCTGTTTGTTCTTACGGAGATGAGTGGGCAGGGTAACATATCAAACATTAAATTGCATTGGTTTTCATCATATTTTTCTCTTCTCTGTTTAAAAGAAATCCTGGGCTTTAGTGTTTTTTCTTTTCTCTGGGAATTTTGCCCGGTGGAAAAACAAGCTGATTAAAGGCCAACAGTCTGCTCTTTCTGTCAAAGCTTAAACTCACAGAGAACCTGTGGTGGGTAGGGAGAAAGGTAAGCATTTTGGAGGAGGAGAGGGGACAGGGTGGACAGCTTCCAGACAGCACCCCAAGGCCCAACAATTTCCAGCCATGTGCCACTTATTATGTTCCTGGTGTAAATCTGTAACCCCCTCCACGCCCACCCCGCCCCTGGGGAGCGCACACCTTTGTCTAATCCACAGCAGGGCACCATGTGGGTCAGCTGGAGAGGGAGCTGGGGACAGGGAATCACAAGCTCACGCTGACCCAGCAGCCCCAAGGAAGCCAAGCTTCCTCTCTGGGGCTCAGCTCTGGCCAATTACCAGCCTCAGCCCCCAGGGGGCAGAGAGGCTCCACGGAGGGAAATCCTGGCTCATCGCCCTTCTCCCTGCAGCATTTCCCAGGCAGTCAGCTGCAGGGCTGCTCCACTCCCCTTTCCCCTCCCCCCAAGATGTTTTTCCCAGGGACCCCGCCATTGCTCCCTCACCCTCACTCAGGTTTCACTCAAATGCCGTTTCCTCTGTGAGACCTTCCCAGACATACCGTTTTTGTCCACCAAGGGGTGCTACACACAGTATGTATGTAAAGGATACTAACCTTTACCCTTGCTTTTCTTACCTGGGCCTGTACCTGTGTCACCTGGATTAAAAAGAGCAACATCCAGCCCTCGACAAGTTTCCTTCTCCGCTTGATAGAAGTAACTGCTCTTATGAATTCTATCACCATCGGTGAATCTGGATATTCTTCATCCTTTATTTTTCTTCTAAAGATTTATTTATATATGCATACAGAACTGGGGTACAGGTGTAGAGGGTGAGAGGTGTAGAGGGTGAGAAGATTCACCAGAGACAGAGTGGGGAGCAGAACAGGCAGACTGATGAAGTACACTGCTGAGGGGAGCAGTGGGCAGGTCAGGAGAGGTCTGCTGCGCCATGTGGGTCACCTCCAGTGCGGGTGGGGATCGAACTCGTGCTGCAGTGGCTTTAGTTCGTAGTGCTGCGCTTTAACCTGTTGCGCCACCAGGGCGGGCCCCCAAGTCAGTGCTCTTAACTGGATGCTTCCATCCCTCCATGG